CTCTCTCTCTCTCTCTCTCTCTCTCTCTCTGTGTGTGTGTGTGTGTGTGTGTGTGTGTGTGTTCATTCTCTTTTAAGATCTCAGTGTTAGCCGTGGCAGACACCGTAAGAACTTGCTCATTGGATCAATGCTATAAGACATTTCTGTCTCCTGCCACCAGTGAGACAAAAAGGAAAATGTCCACTTTCGTTAGCAATATAAAGTCATCTGACAGCCCTACCCAGCATGCAGCAGGATTTCAAAAAGCATTTCAGTTGATACGAAATACAAACAATAGCACTAAACTCCAAGCAAGTAAGTCTATTATTATGCAGTATTAATTGATCTCTTCTTGCATTTTGTTGTCTTGCATTTCTCCTTTTTTCATTTGAGTTGCTCTTTTTAGCAATGGATGGGAGATTATTTTAAAGCACCAATTTTATTTATTTATTTAGTAAAACATTTTTATGCCGCCCCATTCGCCGAAGCCTCGGGGCGGCTTACAACAATAAGTTAAAATAATTATAAATCAAAAATATAAACATTAAATTAAAAATACAAAAATACAGTATAAAATAAGCCGCCCTGGCCAGATAAAATCCAATAAAATTAACAGTTAAAATGCCGCTTGAATAAAAAGGTTTGACTTGAATTGATATGGTTTGCTTTTTAGACAAGTTAGGGTATCCTTTAGTAATTGTTAGATCTGGTTAATTCAAAGTTTATCACATAACAAGAACATGAAGCAAATAAATTAGCTTCATTGAATGAGTAGAAGCCTAAACTGCTAGAAGTTAGTTTTCCACTATAGACATAGAAGGATCCAGAGAACGATGTGGATCTTCTAAAACTAAGCAGATCTAGACCTCAGCTCCATCTAGATGGAAGGCTGCGAGTAATGCAATATAGCACGGTTAAAATAGGGGCTGAGTTGCACACTTGACAGTCTGATTTGAGCCAAAGCTCTCTAGGACTCAGTGCAGGTGGTTATCATGACAGCCACAACACTACTCCCCCTCCACCCCGGAAAAACTATTTCTTCCCCCTATTGCCCAACTATTGGAGGGAATAGCAGTTAACAGAGGGAAACCTGAGCATGGTAGCAGACAATGTTCTTGTCCTTGCTAATCAAAGAGTGCTAGCACTTTGACCTTGCATGATTTGTGTCCACTTTACCACTGACAGAAGTAGGATTCTGTCTTGAAGTAAGTGAAGCAGGAATACATAGAAGTCTCATAACATGTGAAGGGTACATTTCCTTTACCATGGAGCAACTACGTAACAAAACTTAGTGGGAAGAATTTCCATATTGGAGAGTGAGGTTTTTAGACAGACTTAAGCTTGGCATCATTTGTTGTAGACATTAAGCTTTATAGCATTATTAGCATGCAGCTGCTGTTGAAGAGTGCTATGTTGCTTTCCTGCCCCAGCAGTGTATGCTGAGGTAGGTCATTCAGCTGTTGCCAGTTAAGCTTTCAGCATGCCAGCACAGTCTAATAAAAACAGGCATTTGTTGTGTCATGCCCAGAAACCAGAATTCATCACACATTGATGGGCATGTTTCATACACAGCATCTTAAGTTTTGCTAGATACACAGTCCTCCATAATGTATGATGGTAGATAATTCAATACAGTGGGAAACATGACTACCTTTTACATTTAAAGTATTTTAAATAAACATATAATTCATAGCATAAATTATAAACTTAGGCATTTAAACATGAACACAGAAATCTGCCTAAAACTACTTTTAAGGCAGTTGGGATGAGGAGGAATGGGGAAATAGGTTCACATGTATTAACAGTTGCCTAGTTCTTACTCAGTATTTAGAAGCTGACAAAAGTAGTATTTGAGTAGTTGCTTGTGAGTTTAGCATTCTTCCTTGTAGGACTCAAAATCACAGGCCTGTTTTTCTAACCTTGTGGAAACCCCTTTTATGCATCCTTTTGTTGCTTTAAAAATGGATGCCAAAGACATATCATATCCTTTAAAAATGGCCTGTACTCCACTCAAAGTAACAACAGTGTGGTAGCTTACCATTTAATAATTTCAGAAGGAGGATGTGGCAGAAACTTCCTTTTCCTTGTAAGAAACCTTCTTGCTCATTTTCATTTCTGGCACAAAAATGATAGTTCTGATATATTGTGAGATTTTCTAACATCTGGATCTCCCAGCAGACTTTGCTTTCATGGCAAAGAATCTCTACAGGATTCCCCCATCCTGCCCCATACAATGTAATGCAAAACATTGTAGAGGCATATCTGGTATGAGAGATAAGAATGATACTGAAAAGATGGATATTTGTATGCCTCTGAGCCTTTCATCTGGTCTCTAAAAGAACAGTGGACTCCTCCTAATTAATTTACATTCTTATTGTTCCTTTTGCTCCCAAGGATTTCACAGTGCTTTCATAAATGATTAATGCATATGCAACTTTTACTGCAATTCAGTAACCCAGAAGAAAAAGAAATCAAGTGCATAGTTAAGTAGAATGCAGCCTGTTGACTGAGGAAAATTTATAGTCAAAAGATTGAAAAACTCAAATGCTTTTCACTCCAATTTGTTAAGTGCATAATAGAAAAAAAGATTCTAAAATGGCAAGGAAATATAGTTCTGTAGATTGGGCTGTAGAGCCATAAAGGGTAGGCTACATGCTATGAACTGGTAACACTAAAAGAACAATATTTTGATAACTCATAATGGAATAACATGTCAGTAATGTTCACTTAACTCAGTGTTTTTCAGGCATTGGCTTATAGAATAATACTGAGCTGTAAACTACTGTTTCCTTGTTAAAGGAAGGAAACCACCAGGATATTCTGTGCTTCCTCTGTCTGCTTCTCAGTAGACTGAAGCTGTTGCTACTGTGGCATTTCCCATTCCCAAAGTGTTCTCATCTCTTGCTTCCCCACTTACAAGGTCAAAGTAGATGCATGCTATGGCCCACTTCCTATATCAAAAGGAGTACAAAAGAAGAGAAGAAAATCCTACCCCTCCCCTACGATATCTAGCCATACTCAGATGTGTTGTCTATTCCCCAGTCTGGCGCTAATACCAGAAGTGAGTTCAAAAGGACTGTGGATAAAAAATGGTATTTGTCTATTGCAGATTTTATAGGCTGTACTATCCTATACACAAATAGCCATTCTCTCTAGGTTTGTACATCCAACTTTTATTTGGGTTATCAGATGCTGGTTAGAATAGGATTAAGAAGGAGCTCTAAGATTACAAATAGCTCCTTTTTCTACTGTACCATTAGTGCAGTGACAGCTTTGATATTTTTATTTACTACACGTATATTGATATTGGGAATCCAATGTTGCAGAGATGTAGTGCAATCTAATATGCTGTAATTCCATTTTATATTTCTTAGATACAGATATGGTTGTAATTTATTTGTCAGCTGGAATAACATCAAGAGATTCATCAGAAGATGGGAAAAAGGCTACGCTTCGTGTTATCAATGAAGAAAATAGTTTTCTTAACAACTCGGTGATGATCCTTACCTATGCACTTATGAACGGTAAAGGGTGGTTACCATATTTTGAACAAATTAAGCTTTTGTGATTCTTTCAACTGTGATCTTCTCCATTTTCTATTTCAACAGTACTGTATCAGATATCTTAGAGGCTTGTATTAGCATATTTTCATGTCTATCTTGAGATGGTTTGGAGATGTTTTATAATGATTTTTGCATTTATGTATATATGGGCTTTTAGAGCTACTCCATAAAGTGTGGACTTAAGTCTTATCTATCACATCTCTGTTGCAGAGGGAGTGACAGGTTTAAAAGAATTAGCCTTTCTCCGAGATCTGGCAGAACAAAACTCAGCCAAGTACGGAGTGCCTGACCGAACTGCCTTACCTGTGATAAAAGGGAGCATGATGGTCTTAAACCAGCTGAGCAATTTGGAAACCACCGTTGGCCGGTTTTATACAAATCTCCCAAACCATATGATTGATGAAGCAGTCTTCAGTTTGCCGTTTTCCGATGAAATGGGAGATGGTAAGAGCGTCAAAGATACTCGTTAAAAATAGAAAGGTTTATTTCTGTCTGCTATTACCACCTTTGTAGTGAACATAGTCGGTGGCATTTTTACCAGGTTGCCTGTTAGGGAAGCTTTGAAATGAGGAGCATTTCATGGGAGGCACTCCCCCAGAAATGCTCTGTGCACCAGACAATTGGATATTGGGATTATGTGACAAGAGCCACAAAAAGTTACTACTTATGTTACAATATCAAAGAGGAATTTCTCTGTTTTAGTTTCTTGTCTTTCCAAATGCTTACACAAAAATGCATGTACCTAAAATCTTACTGATGCTTGTAAAATTATGTCAGGAAGACACTACTTTCAGTGGAGGAAGAACTCATTTTCCCCAGGTACTTCCCCCACTGGAAGTCATGCCTCCCTCATAAGAAAGAAAAGGCTTAATTGGTCCTAAATCCAGACCTTCCTATGTTTGGAAGCTGACAGATATTTTGTGGATCTCTCGGTGGCTTTTGACAGAGTGGATCGTTTAATTCTGTTAAGTTGAGGCTACGGAATAGAAGCAAATAGACAGTGAAGGTCCCTCAGAAAAGAAGTAACATGCTGAAAAAGTGGCAGCTTCCTAAAATAGCAGAGCTGCTGCATTCTCTACTAGCTGAAACTTCTGGACTGAGCAAACCATCTTGCAAGGACTGTGTGTAGTTGTAAAAGACATCTTCTGTACAGTTGGATTTATATTACTTTTTCAATATAAACCATTGGTCACTCCTGAGCTAGAAAGTCCCCAATAATTTGGAAATGCTGGCAACTCTCCAAAATTTAAGCATGGCATGTTTTGAGGAGGTGGATTTAGAGGATACATTTCTGAAGGTACCTCATCACTAAGAAGGACTTTCAAACCTTCCCAATTGTATATATTTGATGAATATAATGTAATTAATTACCAAAGATCCAAGGCCTAAGGTAGCTTGATTCTAGGGTATTTTTATGTGGTCTCAGGGCGGTGGAAGACTTAAAGTTAAATAGAACTCCAGAAATGTGGGCTTACAAAAATGAATGATGTCTTCTAAAGTTCTCCTTATTCCCTCCTTTTTAATGAATATTCATATTGTAATATATTATCTTATCCCTAGGATAAGTGACAATGCTATAGAATGTAAAGGAGAAATAAAGTTGACACAGGTACAAGGATCTTTCAAAATCTTTGTGAACCTTCTGTTTTAGAATTCCCAGATCATTTGCTATTCTGGGATTTAATTTACCCAGAACAGTGTAAAGAACTAGCTATTTTTTTTTTTCAAGAGGTGATACATGATACTGCACTATCATTGAAGGTAAGCAGGTCTGTGTGTAGTCACTGACTGGATGACAGTCTGGGAACCCTATCTAAGCTGCCTTGATCTCTCTGGAAGACAGGCAGGATATAAGTACATACATACTTATAATTACATATTACTCTTGCTTCTCTCTCCTGGTATTCTTTTAATGCATAATGCTATTTATTCTTTGGAATTACTACTATCATTTCAGGAAGTATATTGTCAATCTCTATGCTGTCCTGGAGGACAAGGAAGGAATAGTGCACTAAACCTGCATAATTTCATGGGATTATTCAAAGCAATTAAATATGTATTTGCCATACAAATCCCTCTCCCTCTCTCCACCCACCCCCAAAAGACACTGGTACTTGGCTGAATCTTGATTTCATTGAACTCAGCTGACATGATTCAACAGATTTGGGAATGTTAATTCATTACTTTAATATTATTAAATAGGAGAGAGGTGAAAAAACTTTTATTTTACTTTCATCCTACTGTTATGTGTAATCTCACAATAGACTGTACCAGCATAGCAGTTCATCAAGCAGTAGATTTTTAAAGTGTTAAAGTGTCATTATTTTTAATATAAGAAAAAGTATTCCTACTCATGCAAGAGGAAAAGTTGTTTGGAAATGAGATCTGATATTTTGCCAAAGCATCTGCTATATCTGCCCTTTCTAACCTGGATCCCTGCAGCTGTTTCTCCTAAACCTACTGTCATCTCTTATCATAGGCTGTGCTGACATATGCTCATTGGAACTGTAGTCTAAAGTATCTGGAGGGATCCACAGTGGGGAGGGTTGGTCTAAACCAGGGGTCGACAACCTTTAACACTCAAAGAGCCATTTGGACCCGTTTCCCACACAAAAGAAAACACTGGGACCCGCAAAACCCTTTTGACATCTAAAATGAAGATAACGCTGCATATATCGTTTTTTACCGTAATGCCATGTAGATCTTCATTATGATTTAGCTGCAGCTCTTGTTCAGTCACTAAAAACTGTTATTTTTAATCTTACATTATAAACTAGTAGGACTCCTTTCATATATTTTGAATAGGAGAACAGCTTCCTGACGAGTCAAAGACAGTGCTAAAGGGCTGCATGCATTAAACAGCAAACCCCATAAGTTTGTCAGCAGTAAAAGCAAATGAATCTACCCAAGTATCATTAAACATTTGGTTTTCTTCAGAAACTTTTCTTTTCTTCGATTTATCCAAGCGCTGTGCCGGCACAGGCCGCGGATTGGCGGCGGTTGTGACGTGAGCGACGGAGCCGCAGCAGAGGCATTCAAGAGCCACATGCGGCTCCGGAGCCGCGGGTTGCCAAGCCCTGGTCTAAACACACAGAAGGTAGGCCTCCAAAGCACAGTCCTATGGCTGCTAGACACTATCTAGGTGGCCACAGGAGAATTTGGAGTCTTGGCTCTGACCTCAGATATTTGCTATGAGGTTGTAATGAGCCAGCACTCTAAATTCAGAGTGCCTTCCCTCCAACTTTGGTGCAGAAAGGACTTTCAATCTAAATGTTTTGCAGGGGAAGAAAGTAACAGGGTCAAGCTTTGCCTCTACACTGTTTCTACCATCTGTAGGATGCCTGTAATCCTCAAAGTTCAAAAGGTTATGAGCTGCTTCACTGGATTGTGCTGTAAGGCAGCATTCTTCTTCATGGTCTCTGTGCATCATATATATGGGCTCTGTGCCTGCACCAGGCCTAGATCAGAAAGAAAATTCTACAGCTTAGCATCACTGAATGGGTGGGAGCCCTTTATCTCTTCCAGTTCCTGGTCATATGAAGGAGGTACTCCTGCCCAGCCCCTCAGTTCCTATGTCCATGTGGTCCATACCTTTGACTTTTGGGTGGCACTAATGACAGTCCTTTGAGTCAGGACTGCACCTTCAGGGCAGTCCTCTCATTGATACTCCAGTGACAACAGCCCCTTCCTTCCTGTGCATGGTAAGCTTGTTAATTGCCCATATGTGTGATGCACAGAGACTATGAAGAAGAAAGGTGGGTTACTTACCTGTAACTGTTGTTGAGTGGACACAACCCACCATCTGCCCCTCTGGCGTCATCAGGGGATGTGGGGCACTAGGGGGGCAGCATCTCACCTACATCTTTTCCATTTGGCTGCCAGAAGATGATGCAGTCTCCAAGGCAACTGAGGGAATGGGCAGGAACTGCACCTTCATATAACCAGGAACCAGAAGGGGTAAAGAGCTCCCACCCATTCCATGATGCTAAGCTGTAGCAGTTTCTTTCCAATCTAGGCCTTGTGTGGGCACAGAAGCCCATATGTGTGAATGCAGAGTTGACCACTCAAAGAACAACAGTTTCAGGTAAGCAACCTGCCTAACATATGCAAAGTTACTTGGAAGTGAGTCCTACAGAGTAAAACTTTCATTCAGTAAAACAGTAAATTTTTATAAGACTGAGCTACAGATCACTTTCTTGTCCCCATACACTTTCTTGTCCTGGAGATTTGTTGAATGAATGAATGTGTGGTTTTCCTTTTGTTCACAGGTCTGATAATGACTGTAAGCAAACCTTGCTATTTTGGAAACTTACTACTAGGAATTGTTGGGGTAGATGTTAATCTAGCCTATATTTTGGAAGATGTCACTTACTACCAAGACTCTTTGGCTTCTTACACATTTCTAATAGATAATAAAGGTAACTACAAGCAATTAATGTACTTCCTATTATAGAAGCCAGTAGTAAAATTCAACATGTCTGCCTACTCTTTTCTTTCATTTTTAGGATACACTCTTATGCATCCCTCTCTTACCAGACCCTACTTGCTCTCTGAACCACCACTCCACACAGATATAATACATTATGAGAATATTCCAAAATTTGAACTGGTTCGACAGAACATACTTAGGTAAGACTGGTTAATACTTCATACAGACTTGTAGTGTGCATACTTAATCTTCAGTGGAAGCTAAGTTATCATTAATACTTATGCAATTCATACGTGAGTTTCATGTTGAATGAGGTTTTAATGAACACTCTTTTATATTCTGTAGGAAATTTTCATGTTTTTGTATCATGCCCAGTACAACTATTTCAGTAACTTTTGTTTAGAGTAGAGGCATAATCTATTCTCTTCTGCAAAAGTGGAGTTGGAATTAATGGAAACAATAGAGGGAGCACACATATGCATAGGATTGGTCTTAGCTGTTTTGCACATAACATGAAATCATAGTTTGTTTAAACCAGGGTTATTGTACTCTAACCTGTTGACCTGCCCAGGGATTGTCCTGCACAAAATAGAACAGTGTTTTGCTTTCTCAGTCCATGGATTGTTTGTGTCTTTGCCCCCTTTGCCCACTTACTCACTGTATTCCAAATGCCTTTGCAGTGATGTTGTATTAGCATATAGAGAGGCTGGAGTGGGGAGGGTGTTTTTTACCTCTCTTCCTTGCTGCCTCTATAGTCTGATGAAACAATGCACAGTGGTTGGTCACATACAAGAGCAAATTATTGTTTTAGGCAATCCAGAGTTCTTTGTCTGATTTGTCTGTTAACATGGCTGGGTTTGCATGTTGTGACATCTCAGACTTCAATAACCCATGAGTTAAATAAATAATGGGCTAGTGTTATACGCTAATCAGGTGACAGTTTCAATGGACCTCAAGAGAACATCCTATTGTACTGGTTGTAGGTCATCTTCTCGGAGGTAAATGTTGATTCTGTTTCTCCTGGAAACATCTCAGTTTAGAACACCAATAATCAGATATTTGTTCTAGGGTTCATTTTATACATTAAAAATGTTTATTTTGAGTTGAATGCAGTATAAAAAATTAGTTTTCTGTTCATATGTCTGCAGAGTACTAACATCTACTAGCTATTAATTTAATAAAGATACTTCATGCATGTTCTGATCTTGAGTCATAAATCAGTGCATTCATCCTTTTTATCTTCATTTTGCCATTAATAGCTTTTATAGACTTTCCCCCACTCATTAGCCCATTTTAAACTTGTATTTAGTATTGAGCTGCTAAGAGCTGAAGCACTGATTTTACCACAGCCATGAAAGGCAAATTTAGCAGGGAAAATGTTGATATCAGGGTCAAACAGAAGGAGAATACCACTAGTTGTCTTGCTTCACAGCTCCTGGACTCTACATCTAGATTCACACAATTTCTTTTTCGTGGTCTCTGTGCATTTCACATGTGTGCTTTGCCACATAGTGCAAGGCCTGGATCAGAAAGAAACTTCCATAGCAAAATGTCACAAAGTGAGTGGGAGCCCCCCTGTCCCTTCCAGGTTCCAGAATAAGGGGAGGGGGTCCTGCCCACTTCCTCGGTTTCTTTCTGACTGTGCTAACTGCTGAATTGCCTGATCAGATCAGGTTCTGCATCAGGGTTTTTCTACTAACCATTTTTCCCCATTTAAAATAAAATTTAAAAATTAAGCTTTCTTACTAAAGGTTGCTTTTTCATATGTTATTTCTCTCCATTCCTGCTACTGAGGGGAATTTTTTTCCCCAGGCTCCTATTGCCCTTTCTTTTTTGCCGCATGCACTTAAGACTCTTCCCACATGCCTTTTGTAGATATGCCTTCTGCACTGTGCACCTCTCAGCTGCAGATGCCTTGGCAAGGGACACATTGTGGAAACTTGCCCAAATTGCCAGGTGTTTAAAAACAAATGCGCTGGCAGCAGGCAGGGCACCTAAAATTTGCCCTATGGCAGAGAGCACTCTAAGTGACCAGTTCTTTGAATGTGGATGCAAAGGGCCCTGCTGCCTCGCTGGTGCAGGAGGTCACATGGCCTGGTAAATGCTCCAGGAAGCCAAGCCAAAAGCCTCGGGAAAACCAGAAGGGACCAAGGCGCGTCTCAGGAAAAAGAAGTTGCGCGTGGCTCTCATGTCTCCTGCCATTGCCTCACTCCACACGGATCATCCACTGTCACCAGACCCTGAGGCTCCACCAACCAGCCCCCTTTGCCACTCCAAGGACCGATTCACTGGGACCATGCTCTCCACAACAGGTTCAAGGCGCTTCTCCCACATACAACTTCCTGCCTCCATCACTGGCCATTCCAGTGACTCCCAGCCGCTGCTCCTTTGCCTCTCTGCACAGCTCATCGCCCAGCCTGCTCATGCCAGCTGCAGCTGGGGAACTGACTCCCAGGGACACCAGAGCTCACCCTTCTCTCCACCATTCCACTGGGATCACAACGCTCCCTGGTCCTCCTCCTTGACCTACCCTGGAAACTTATTGGAGCTGCTGGATGACCTCTCTGAGCTGCCCACACTGTTCCCACCATGCTGCACTGCCTGGGAGACTTCTCAGAGAGGAGATCCCGTTGAGCTCCGGCACTACCTGATTGCATGCTTGCGCCCACCATCATTGCATCAGCCTCCACCATGAGTTTACTGGCCCTGCCTTGCCCCATCCATGGGCAGACTCTGGACACTGTCACCATCACTCTCTGGACCAGCTCAACATCTTGTGCTCCCACGTGTACAGCCCCGATGCCAAGAGTGTGCAGACACCTCTCCAGCCTTCCTTGATGCAAGCTCAGGACCATGCCAACACCATGAGGCCACCCATGCTGATGCAGGCCACACATGCATGGAGCAATGCCTGACCAACCTCAACCTAGATGTTGGCCCAGTCTGCCAATCCAGAGACCTCGATGCCAGCCTGGTCTACCACTCCAGAGAGACCTCGATGCTGACTTCAACCATGTCTCCCAATCCAGAGACTATGCGGGTTCCAGGCCCCTTGATCGACCTGACTGACCAGCAAATTGACCAGCTCCAGACTCGTCCTGCATGACCATGGGGCCTGCTAGCATGCCCACCACTTCTACAGCCCCATCCTTCTGGCATTGCTCTGTTAACCAGTCCTGAGAACAGAGCCATCACCATCCATCCACTGTTGATCCTCCTCCCCTGTGGTGGGGCTTTCCACCTCGCATTGCATTGAATCTACATTGAATCTTGCACCACTCATTCTCTTTCCTGATTCAGCACTCCAAGCCCAACTCTATTACAGTTGTGTTGATGCAGGGTACCTCCCATCAGGAGCACTCTGTGCCAGTAGACAGGGAGGGGCAACACCTGGATAGCCTGGCCCGAAGGGCCTACACTGCAGCCTTTCTGGGCCTTCGCGTCTTTACCTATGATTTGGTCATGGCCAGATATCAGATGCTCCTTTGGGACAAGATGGTCTCCTTGATGTGACACCTCCCAGCCAAGCTATGCAATATGGCTTGGCTGTTACATGCAGAGACCGAGAAGCTTTCCAGTTACCAACTAGAGGTGGCACAGGACCATGTGCACTGCAACAGGAAGGTGCTACTAGGGTCCATCGCTATCTGTTGCCATGCCTGGCTCCACCCAGCAGACCAACACTCACATTGAGGATATGGACGGGGAGGGACTCTTTAATGCCAGAATGGATGAGAGCATGGACTCCCTTCACAAGGCCAGAACCACTGCCAAACTTACAGGGTTCTCACAGCACCTTCAACCACGTAAGTGGCCAGGGGCCCCTCTTGGTGCCACCCACTGTCCCTTTTTTTTTGATCACTTTTTCAAGGTCGAGGCACCTGCCCTCCCTAAGAGATGGGTCTTCCAGACCAGAGAATAATTCCCTCCTAAGTGACAGGATGCTGAGGGTCCAGTCCACGCAGCTCCCCCCTCTGCCCCCTCACACCCTGTCACATTCACAGATCACCTGCCCTAGTTCCTCACTGAATGGGAGTCCATCACCTTGTACTCCAGGGTTCTGTCCAGAATCTGTCAAGGCTACAAGATCGAGTTTGATGCCCTCCCACCCCTAGACTGTGTTAGATCCACCATGCCCTCACCTTCCCTGGTGGCAAAAGTACAGACCCTACTGTCCAAAGGAGCAACTGGATGTGTCCCCACAGACCTTCATAGGGGCTTCTACTCATGATACTTTACAGTCCCTAAAACAGGATGGGGTCTCAGGCTGAATTTCGATCCAAGAAGCATCAATAAGTTCATTACTCCCAAGAGGTTCAGGATGACCACTCTGCAAGGCATCCTGCCTCTGCTCAGGTAGGATCAATGGTTTCCCTCCATCGACCTCAAAGATGCCTATTTCCATATCTCTGTTAATCATGCCTACAGATACTTCCTCAGATTCCATACAGGGCAGGAAACCTTTCAGTTCTCTGTCCTCCCCTTTGGCCTAGCCACCATGCCACACATCTTCACCAAGTGCCTCTCACAGGCAGTGCGAGTCGCTTGCTTACTAATGCAGACCCTGGACCTCTGCACTAATCATGACAAGTCTATTTTCTCCCCTACCCAGTCCATCTTCTTCATAGGAGCTTGCTTGGACTCCATATCTGCGAGGGTTTTCCTCCCACAACCAAGGACCAAGATTCTCATCTCCTCCTTATGCTTGTCTGAACTGTGCCTTACTCCACCACCCTCACTATACAGAGGCTCCTGGGTTTCATGGCTGTCACAGTGTCACTAATCTTTGGATGAGACTTCTCCAGCTGTGGTTCATGAAAACCTTCACCGTGGATGAAGGCCCCCCACTCTATAGTCCCTTCCCCTCCCACCACGGGTCAAACACTTGCTCCACTGGTGGACCACCCCAGCCAACCTCTCAGGTGGGGTCCTTTTCTCCCCACCACAGCCGGAGGCCACACTCACAACAGATGCCTCAAACACAGGATGGGATGCTCAGTGCAGAGATTTCTGCACCCAGGACCTCTGGACTGCCCAAGAATCCCAAAGCCATATAACCTCTTGGAGATGCTTGCTGTTCACAAAGCCTTGGTCTCCTTTCAGGACTCTTTGAAGGGTTGTCACATCCACAGACAATACAACAGCTATTTATTACCTAAACCAGCAGGGGGGCACTCGTTCAGCCCACTTATCCAACCTTGCATCCACCATCTGGGAGTGGTGCCTGGAAAGACTTCTTAATCACAGCCATCCCATGTGGCTAACCACCAAAACACACTGGCGGATTCCCTGAGCTGCTCCACCTTGACACCCCACAAGTGGGAGCTTGATGATGCAGTCCTTCACAACCTGTTCACCAGGTGGGGCACCCAGTGGTGGATCTCTTTGCCACTCCCCAGAATGCCAAGTGCCACCTTTTTTGCTCCAGAGCAGGATGCAGGAGGGGGTCCCTGGGGGACACCTTCCTTCTGATAGTACAGGACCCTGTTCTACACCTTCCTCCTCTTCCCCTGATTACCAAGGTGATTGCCAAAATCCAGAAAGACAATATGGACTTTTTTATCACCCCCCTGGTGGCTGTGACAGCCATGGCTCCCACGCCTCCTCCAGCTATCCAACAGGGCATTCCTCTGCCTGCTGCAGAGTCACACCCTCCTCTCCCAAGAAGGGAGCTGCATCCTCCACCCAGACATCGGGACCCTGAATCTGATCACCTGGATGAATTGTATGTGGTAGACCCCTATCCATTGTTACCCCCCACAGTCATCTCCATCCTTCAGGCTGCTGTTGAGCTCTTTATCCATAAGTCCTACTAGGCTAAATGGAGTGCGCTCACATGCCATTCCAGGTCAGTGGGCTTAGACCCCCCCCCAATCTCACCTTCCACAAGGACAAGGTGGTCCTCCACCCAGACCCGCAGTTTCACCCCAAGGCCACCTCATCTTTCCACATAAATCAGGATATTATCCTTCCAGCATTCTTCCTAAGTCATCACCCCCCGCCGAAGCCTCCCTTCACCTGCTGGATGTCTACAGAGCCCTCACCTTTTAGAAGTCACATACAGAGGGTTTTTACCACACAAACTTCCTCTTCATATGCTATGATGGCCAGGGTAAGGAGACCCTGTCTTGTCACAGAGATTATCCAAATGGATCTCTAACTCCATCTCCCTGGTGTATGAGATGGCTGGGCTCAACCTTCCCACACATCCTCCTGCACACTCTACATGTGCACAGGCTACACCCACCACTCTCCTGACTGGCATCCCTCTCCATGACATTTGCAAAGCTGCTACATGGTCCGCCCCATCAACTTTCATCTGGACCACCATAAACTTTCTTCTGAAGACTGGACATCTGTGCCGAGCTGTCCTATCAGCTGTTCTATGATGACATCAGCCCCACTGTCCACTAAGGGGAAGCTTGCTAGTCACCCACATGTATGATGCACAGAAACCATGACGAAGAAAGTCAAGTTGTTTACTTGTAACTGTGCATTCACAACCTGCCCTCAGCCCCAGTGGCTGTCAACAGTTGCTGCACCTCTCGTTCCTGATACAGATGAGGTCCCCAGGTCATCAGCAGAGCTGGACATCACATCCTTGATTCGGATGACTGGAGAAGATGGGGTCTCCAAGGCTACTGAGGAAGTGGGTGGGACCCCCTCTTATCTTGGGACCTGGAAGGGGCAGAGAGGCTCCCATCCACTTTGTGACAATTTGCTGTGGAAGTTTCTTTCTGATCCAGGCCTTGTGCTATGCGGCAAAGCCCACATGTATGAATGCACAGATGATCACTCAAAGAACCACAGTTACAGGTAAGCAGCTTGTCTGAATACAGAGAGAACCCCTGGAAAAAAGAGCTTAAAATCTGTCTCCTGTGGGACTAGATACGTGTGTGGAGGGTAGGGGGGTTAAGACATTACACTATTTTCCTGATGTGGCACAGGATTAAGTAGGTCAGATGTGCAGCCTTTTTTAGTCTTTCTGGATTAGAAAAGTCAGTACAAACAATGGATGCATATAGTTTTCAGATATTAATTATCTGGAACTATGCAAATGTCTTGCAGCTCTTGTTCATGCTTTCATACCCCCAGCCATTCAATACTGTAATGTAGATGCTGGAAGATGAACTGAACTTGCAGACAGATGAAAGTTGCATGCTGCCTTATTTATGGGTGTGGTCTGGCAAGAACCTGCCTCACCGTTTCTTCATCAGCTGTCCCACATGTTCATAGTTTCTGGGCCCAAATCTAAGGAACTTTTTTGACTGTCATACTTTAGGGAGAGCTTCTCATGACATATGTTAGAGTAATCTTGAATGGGGTGCATTGGGATGGGGAGTGAAATGGCTGACAAGTCTGTTCCTTCCAGATCCCTGCATCCCTTCAAAATACCATGAACAAAGAACCAAGGTTGCAGATACATAATTATACAGATTTTGTCTTGTTACGGGCCGTCCTGAACTTTTGCTTCAGTGTTCTGCCACATAGATTGAGAGAAGAACAAAGTTGATCTAGAATGGACATGGAAGCCTTAAATGGGTTTATGGAAAAATGTCGGGGTAGCAAAATGCTTTAACTGTACTGGACTGAACAATGTTATACAATCTGGAATACTGGTTTTATTGATTAATCTGCTGGATGTTTTTGTCTTACCCTGTGTATTCTTACATTTTCCCCACTACCTTGCTCAAAGCATATCAGAACACTATACTGATTGCCTCTCTGAGCCCATGGGAACTGTTTGGACAGTTCAAGTGCTTCTCCTGACACTTTAAACCTGCAAGAAGCAAAATCAAACCACCACCACTAAATTACCTTAGAGCTATAGCAAGGATAGGCAACTTGTGGCTTTCCAGATGTTGTTAGACTTTAGTTCTCATCAGACCTATCCAGCATAACCAATTGTGAAGAATAATGGAGATGCAGTCCAACAACATCTAGAGAGGTAATTGCCCACCCTTGAGCTAGAGTAATGTACATGACATCACAGCCTCTTTAGGTGATTGATGATGACGATTTCTAGAATGTCTTACAGGATAGACTAGGTTTGAGTTTAAGCATTAGTATAGTAACCATAGGTGATAAGAAATTGCATACAATTCAGTACAAATAAAAGTGAGGGGTGGAGCAGGGGGGAAGCACACCAGCCCTTATCTATGCCCTTAAAACCAAGCAGGCCACCAGAGGAAGGCAGCATAGAAATGTGACCAACATAGACATGCAGAGGCTCCTGTAGAAACAATGGAGTTTTCGGCCAGTTCCCATTAGGCTAAGAAAAATATGTGTGGTCTACTAACATTTGGGGACTTGTTTCTAAAGATGCTCTAAGGTCTTTTAATTGTTAAGTACAGCTGGTGTGGAAGAAATCACTCACCCATTGTGGTTCATGAGGTGTAGCCCTGAGATTTCTGCATTGGACTTTATCTGAACTGGAAGGTAACTCTATTCTGCAGTTTTCCGTCTGGGCAGATTAATTCAACAGTTAGGAAGAAGTGTTATTTGTCCTAGGGAACATTCAGGTAGGCCTCTGCTGTTAAACACAACCAGTGTCTTTGGTGATTTCATAACACTGAAGATATTACCACTGAAATCTCTCATCTAAAACAAATTTACCTGGTAAGAGCTGTAAGACCACAACTAGCAGCACTGGCTTGAAGTGTGAACTGGTAAATATAATGTAGGAAAGCATCCCACTTTCACCCCAGTTAAGAACAAATTTTGTGCTGCCCTTGAGTACTTTAATAAGAAACTTTTGAGTGTTTTCCTGTTTTAATAAGTGACAGATACTGTTTGTTGCCAACTTAGCCTCCCTCTAGGAAGTCAGCTTATTACAGTTCCAGTGAACTCCTCACTGTCTTGGCATGTAAACAAACTGCGTGAAATTGAGAAGGACGCCTACAATGTGAGTTATGCCTGGAAAATGGTAAGTGACAGAGCTGACTTGAAGGTATGCTAATGTATTGAAACCGAAGGCGAATTTTAATTTCAACAAAACAAGTTAATATTTCCAAGAATTTAGAATGTGTTGCATAGCCTCTAGGCCATATGCTATCAGGGCTGAAGTAAATTGTTAACCATGTGTAAATTGGACAGCCATCTGAGTGGGATGGTATAAATTGGTATTCTGCAACAGCAGGGGGGGCGGGGTTGGACCTTATGGCCTTCATGGCCTCTTCCAACTCTATTATTCTATGATTCTGTAATTATACCATCAAAAGGGGTTATCTATGAGCAATTTTGTGTGAGATTTCCTTCCTTCCTTCACAAATCAATATGGTACATGCCTATAGTGAACTTCTTAGGTGAGGTAATATAGTTGCATGACAAGACCATACCAACTGAACATTTCATTTGATCCTCAGTATGGGAATTCTAAGCCCATATCTGGCATGACTTGGGAGGAGAATTAACATGTAATTGTTGTTCTCTTTCCAACTTTCCTGTAGGAAAATACCTTCAGGCAAACAGAGTCCCTTCTTTCCAAGAAAATAAATTCCAAGCTTGGGGATGGGCTGTAGTTCAGCAGAAGACCTGCAGAGGGGCTAAGTTTCAATCACTAGCTTCTCCAGTTAGGACTAGGAAAAAATTGAACTTGAAATCCTGGAGAGCCATTGTTAGTGTAGATGATAGGTTAGGAGAACCTTGGCCTGACATAGCATAAGGCAGTTTCTTCTGTTCCTAAATAGAATGTAGAGATTCCATATGATACAGGAATGATTAGTATTCCAATAATAATAATAATGGTAAATTGTTTCATTCTGTTCAGAAAATTAATTTAAATAACTTAAGATACAGTTCTTTGCATGTTGACTTCAAAGCTAGCCCCACTGGTTGTTATAGGAAACACTGGTAAATCAGTATTTTTCTTTAAATGGTTGGTTGAATAAGCCAGAATCCAGATCATAGACAAACAAGAAAGCCAGAGCTTATTTTGTTTTGGGTTCTTGCTTCCCCATCCTGCTTCCTCTATGAAAACAGAAGTGTTATGGTTGCTGAGGACTGCCATGGCCACACTGTTCTATCAATTTTCATCATAGGTCTACAGCTGGGGTCCCCAACCTGAAGGCTGCAGACTGCATGTGGCCCCAAGCTCTTTCTGTGTGGTCCTCCAACCCGCTTGTTTACTCCTATCACCCTCAGGGCATTTTTGCTTAGATGCACACTGTTCTTCCTGCCTCAAACAACATCATCTACTGGTGTTTTCCCTGTCCATTTCTTACACAAACCACCATAGCAGCATGGTTTCTTCTGGTCTTCATGGTTCCTTCCATCAGCTCCCTCTTGGTCTCATCCTCCATATTAGCATTATGGTTATTCTGTGTACTTTGCTAACCAGCAGAGTTCAGGTACCCGTACCACTCAGCTTTTTCAGTCCCCCTCTTCATGCATTACCTTGCAATTATTTATTTAGCACTTTTATGTACTGTCTTGTAGCCACATGACTCTCTAGACAGTTTACATAATAAAAACCAACAACTTAAAACTTCATAAATAGCACAATTAAAACCACAGTATCAATAATAAAAATGTAACATCATCTCAGGAACACCAAGTAATAGTTTAAAAACAGATTGAAAATACCTTAAATATCACAATTGAGAATACTAAAATTTACATTAATATATAATTAAAATCAAATTCCAACTAAAGTCATCAACAAAATGCTCCTTGAATAAAAGCATCTTGGTCTGGCACCGGAATATATATATATGGACAGTGCTTGGCATATATTTCTGGGAAGCTGATTCCATAGATGGGGCTCCACAACTGAGAAGGCCCTGCCCTGGGTAGCCATCTTCCTAGCTTCCTTTAGAGATGGCTCCTGGTACAGGACCTCTGTCATCTTAGGGTCCAGGTAGGCTTATATGAATGGAGATGTTCTTTCAGTCCTAAACAATTTAGGGCTTTATATATTAAAATGAGCACCTTGAAGTGGGCCAAGACTTCATTGGGCAACCAGTGTAATTTATAGAGGATTGGTGTTATGTATTTGGTATGACTGGTCCCTGTTAGCAGGGAAAAGGAAAGCTTGTGTGTGAGCTGTATTCTGAATTGAAAACTTTTGAAGCAAAACTATGCATTTTTTGTGAAGCAAGTTAGTGAAAATAACTTCCCATGCTGGAATGAAATATAATTTGGGAATTCAATGTTGAAAGAAAAATCAAAGCACTGAACCTATTGCAGGTGGAACTCCAAAACAGATTCACTGATTGCCATAAGCATGGAAAGGTAATAAGAATATTTCAGAATCCATTTGAAGTAGTACCAGAAGATGTAAGTAACTTTTTCAGATGGAAATAATTGATTTGCAAACCAGTGATCATCTCAGAGACATTTCTATTGTGCTCTACCTGATATATTTATCAACTTAAAGAAATTTCCTGGGGCACTTTGACAGTCTTTGGCACCATATGCATCTGTGAATAAACCTTTTCCAAGATGAAAAGTGTGAAATTCAAGTGTAGGTCAAGACATATAGACGAACATTTAGAAACATAGAAACAGAGTGAGTCAGAAGGGGCCTCCCTGGCCATCTAGTCTGACGCCTGGCTCCAGCCAGCTCTGCTCATGACATGCCCACCCATGTGCATGTCTAGCCTATCCTTGAACACCCTCATTGATGAGGCCTCAACCACCTCTGGTGGAACCCCTTTCCATACCCTTGGGGTCCTAACCATCAGGAAGTACATCCTGGCATCTAAATGGAACCTTGAGCTTTGCTCCGTTGGAGCGCGTCCTGCCTTCTTCTGCAGGGGAGAACAGGTCTCTACCCACCTCCATGTGACATCCCCTCACATACCTGTATGTCACCAACAGATCCCCTCAGAGTCTTCTCCAGGCTGAAAAGACCCAGTTCCCTCAGTCTTGTCTCATACAGCATCCCCTGCAAACCAGCCACCAACCTTGTGGCCCCACGCTGCACTGACTCTAACCTGGCTATATCCTTCCTGTAATGAGGGGCCCAAAACTGAACACAATACTGCAATTGCAGGCGTACCAGAGTCGTATAGAGTGGTAGTAATACCACTCTGAATCTAGAAGTCACACTTCTGGCTATGCAACCAAGGGTGGCATTCACCCTCTTGACCACCGCATCACACTGCTGACTCATATTCAGCGTGCAGTCAGCCAGCACCCCAGATCCCTTTCACAAGTGCTGCTCTCCAGCCACTTGTCCCCTAACCTGTACCCATGACACCTATACCTATTCCCCAAGTTCAAGACCTTGAACTTATCCACACTGAACGCCATCCTGTTGTCTCCTGCCCACTTCCATAGTCTGTCCAGATGCTTTTGCATCTGGAGTACCCGCTCCTCAGCTGTGACCCCTGCTCCAGTTTTAGTATCATCTGCGAATTTGATGAGCAGACAGTTCATCCCTTCTTCCATGTCATTGATGAAAAGATTAAACAGGATCAGCTTGTTACTGGCTGCCATCCCGATGATTCCCCACTAATGGTTACCCTCTGCTTTCGGTCAGTCAACCATGCCCTAATCCATTGGAGAGTGCATTGGTGTATCTCAAAACTCCTCAGTTTCTCAACCAGGATATCATGGGGCACTTAGTCAAAAGCCTTGCTGAAATCCAGGTAAACAACATCCACTGCATCCCCTCCATCTAGCCACCTCAAAACCTTGTTGTAGAATTCTACAAGGTTTGTCCGGCAGGAACTGTTTTTGCGGAAACTGTGTTGTGTGGCAATGGACAGAAGGCTAACTGGTCTGTAATTCCCCATGTTCCTATTACTACCCTTTTTGAACATTGGGACTACTGATGCCACCCTCCAGTCCTCTGGAACTTCATCCATTCTCTATGAGACCTCAGAAATGGAGGCCAGCAGGCGTGAGAGAACCCCTGGCAATTCTCGAAGTACTCTCAGGTGTAACCCATCAGGGCCTGGCGCCTTTGTAACATCCAATGCCCTGAGGAGCCCCACAACTTCTAGGGGGGTGACTGTAATCTGTGCTCCTAAGTCCCCAGCCCCTTCCAATCTTCCATGTGGATCTCCCCTGTCCTGCTTTGGGGAGAACACAGAGGCAAAATAGTCATTTAGCATCTGCGCCTGTTCCCTTGTATCAGTCACTGGATCTCCTTCTTCCTTATTTAGCAGTCCCACTACTTGTCTCCCCTTCCTCTTTCTATTTGCATGCTGATACCCTAATCTTTTTTGTTGCTCTTGATATTCTTTGCAAGTCTCAGCTTGTAATCAGCCTTAGCCTTCCAAGGATCCTTCTGCAACGGGCCTCCTCCTCCCAGTATACCCTTTTGTCTATTTGCCCCAGTACCCATTTCCTACAGAGGTTCCACTTGCATCTAATCCCTATAACCACCTCCTTTTGCATCCATGGTGGCACTCTTCTTCACCTCCCTGCCTTACTAACTAGAGATACCGTCATGGCTTGCACCTCCAAGATGTACCTTTTGAGTGGCATATGGAAACATATGGAAAACATATGAAAATAGTCTATACAACATTTAATGCTGGGCTTGATACCCTATAGCTGTATCTGTAGAGACGTTGAAAATCATATATACCAGAGGACTTAGGGAATGTGTTAGATTTTTCTCAAATCAGAAATTACAGAGGTGTTTTTATTATGGGAAATTGAAGAAAACAAATCAAAACTTTCATATTTGCTTTGCTTTTAACAGAAATGTTTTCCTTATTAAATGTTGATTCATCTTTTTAGGTTCAAGATACATCCTTCATTTTGTGTATTGTTGTGATACAACCAGAAATACCTGTGAGACATCTTAAAAATCTTAATACAATACCCAGTAGCAAGTTACTTTATCATCGATTGGATCTTTTAGGTCAGCCCAGTGCTTGTCTACATTTCAAACAACTGGCAACTTTAGGTAAGCAATTTTTCTGAAATTTATCCATTCACTCATACAATTGTTAATTGTTAAAACATAGGATCTGGCCAGGGCAACTTCTTCTTCCTTCTCTTTTCTCCTCCTACATTTTTATTTACTTATTTTATACTGATAATTTTAATTTTATATTTGTAACTCAGTGTATTTTTTGTATTTTTGTATTTAATGGTAATTTATTATGTTCTATTGTATTTCAATGTATTTTATTGTGTTGTAAGCCGCCCCGAGGTTTCGGCAAGGGGCGGCATAGAAATGTTATAATAATAAATAATAATAATAATAATAATAATAATAATACATTTCTTTGTGAAGAACTGTGTGGTCTTGGGCTGGAGTCCTCTATACTAGGGCAATCTCAGCCTCTGTTTCTTACCATGGGACATTCCCTCCCTTTATTCCAGCTGCTGCCATTCATCTGCACTCCTTTATTTAAAATACTCCTTGTTCCCTAACAGTAGCTGGCCACTAAGTATGAGACAAAACTAATCAGAGGTATCAGGAAAGTAAAGAAAGATATGCAGTATTATTTTTTTTAAATGGAAAATTAATAATTCACCACTGGCAGCAAAACATAAGTTCTTTCAAGAATAGGAGTATTTAAATTTTCACTGAGGAGACTTGAATGCTGAGCATTTTACCATAGCAAGATTCATTTCTGTGTCTGACAGTTCTTCATACCTTTTGTTTTCAGTGGAGTTGTTTCAGTGCAGTGTAGGCATAAGTAGTCATAGTGGATAATAGAGCCAAAAGTTCTTTTTCTCCTCTCCATATGAACCTTTTGAAATGGTCCAGGACGCACTATGTTTTAATGCTGCCTTGAAACTCTGCTTCTTTTAAAAAACAAAAAAAAGAGAAAAAGTGTACCCTGAAAGCAGGGTAGTTGTGTAACTTTTGGAAAGCAGCGTATGTTAAGTGTGAGCAGTTGTGTTTTGCATCTTTCAAAGCTGAACTTGATTCTCCTGACTGTCAAATAAATCATTAGTAATAACATGAAAACACTGAAGTTTTTGCCAGTCATGCTGCATTTTGTTGACGTTGAAATCATGCAGATTTTATTCCCAGCTATAAATATTTAATACTATCAATCCCTCTGAAATAAGCCAGAAGTGAGAACTCTAGTGAGAATATACTTTGAAATATTTTTAATTGGCAAGTTCTGAGAATCTAAGTTCAGTACGAAAGTGTTAAATTCAGTTGAACATCTTAATACTTTATATAAGTTTTATATATTAATATTATGCATTTTAGCTTTCCCTGTTGTTATGCTAAAAGAGAAGGTTACACTTAGAGAAATATTAAATTATTATTCTTAACAAAAAGGTTTTAACAATCTTTTAAAACTGAAATCATTGTGTAAACAACTACTCACCCACTTGCTATCCATTAAAAAACCAAATATGCTCATTAAAGCCCCATAAAGCCACTGCTTTATGTGGTTTCTCTCCAAAGAATGGGTCCTTACAATCATGGGAATAGTACCAAAATGACAGACATTTGGGGGAAATTCTCATCAGCTTCTTGATATACCTCTCTGTAGTACATAGATGTAATGTTCCTTTAAAAACTGTAGTAGAAATAGTTTTACCATCATGATGATTTCTGTTCATTATTACGTCAAAAATTATGGTGAAGAAAAAATACCCCATACCACAACAATTCTATTTTGCAGTCATCAGGTTGTATCACTTACGGGGCATATACTGAAAAATTATCATTGTCAAGTGCCTGATGGCCTCCAATCACAATCATCACAGCCCATGCCAGGCTCCTGCTAAGATTAGGCTTGTGGAGCCTGGAGCAAGCATTGCTTTTATTCCACAGAGTCACAAGCTCTCTTCAAACTGATGCTTGTCCAAGCAAATAGCTTCTCACAGATGTTTAACCATGGGTGGGGAATTCTGACTGACTGACAGTATGACTGCTGCTGCAAGGTGGGTTGTCTGAAAGGGCACTGAACCAGGTCACAGTAACTAGAGCTCCCCTTAATACCATCCAGGATCCTCAGAACATTTGATAACGTCTACCTCTGACCAGCAGCTCTACTTCTGTTTGGTATGTTTGACCATAACAGTTGCTTGTTTCCCCACATTTCAGGGAATGTCCTTCATTCTCTTAAAAATGAGGTTAGGAAAGAAGAGAACTATTCTTGAATAGTACACGGTTGTTACAATGATACCCCCTGGTGGTCACATTCACTACAACATAGATGAGGGAGAAATACTTTTTAAGAGCTCACATACTCAGATTATATTATTTGTTGCACCAGTATTTTACTTATAGCAGCTTTCATATTGATGGGTTCAGCTGATACTTTGGGGGTTTGCCACATTTGTCTGTCTTGTCTTTCCAGAAAGCCCTACAGTAATGCTGTCTGCAGGTAGTTTCTCTTCTCCATATGAACATCTGAGCCAACATGAGACTAAGAGGATGGTGGAGCACTATACAGCGTATCTTAGTGACAACACACGCCTCATTGCCAATCCTGGGCTGAAGGTATCTTCACTCTATCTTGCCCATTTACCATCCTTGCTTCAGTGATAATTTTGCTTGAGTATCTCTTAACATTTCCTGGGTCCACCTGATAAGATTTTAAAGAAGTAACTGGGTCTCTTGTTTTCTTGCTAAGTTTACATACCAGATTTTGTTGCAAATATTGCTTGTTTGTCAGAGCCAGGAATACTCAGCAAAACAAGAAATTAATGAATTGTGTGCATGCAAAGCAAGAATATTTAAACCATTTCAGCTAGTTGGATTCTGAAATTGACTTTCAAAATAAGTTTCAGATTATATTTGGAAGAGTGTATAAATCTCTTCCCTGTCTCTTAGCAAAATAAATACTACATAGGTATTTTGGTAGAAAGAAAAGTCTGTAAGATCACATATGTGTGAACAGCATGAAGATCAGATCAGTGTTACAAACACCAGGTATAGACAATGCCTTTCATTTTCACAGGCATGGAAAACTTAAACGTGCAGTAAGATTTAGATCTACCCAAGGTAAAACATTATATAACGTGAATAACATCAACAAAAGCTTCATTAGTATAGAGGCTTTAAGCTCCCCCTCCCCCCTATTCAATTTCTTGAAATTTGCTGGGTCCATCTGGTGTGAGAAGATTTTTAAAAAGTAATTGGGTTTAGATTATCTCTGATAAATCTTTAGGAAACCCTGCAAGCAGCTTATTATCTTTTCAGGCAAGTCTTAAAGGAACCCCGCTAGGTCTGTCTTTGTTTTGCAGTTCTCTGTCAGGAATGAAGTAATGGCTACCAGTCACGTCACAGATGAATGGATGACACAAATGGAAATGAGTAGCTTGAACAGTTATATTGTTCGCCGTTACATAGCAACGCCCAATGGGGTGCTCAGAATTTATCCTGGTTCCCTCATGGACAAAGCATTTGATCCCACTAGGAGACAATGGTGAGCTTTAGGATCCCATTATGAAAGGTTTAAGAAAATGCTTCAAAGTTGATAATATTGCAAAACCAATAAAATTTTGTATAGAATATATAGAACATTGATTAAGCAGATAGATTAAATATTTCCAAGTGAAATTGTATGCAGTTCAAATGCTTTAAATTTCTGGTGGAAATAGCATTGGATGCTTGCTTTTTAAAAGGTAGCTTCTCTTTCTTGGCTTCTGTGCTGTAATGAATAATAGAAATTTCTACATATGGTTACTAAAATCCATTTTGCTTGTGAAAATCCTTCAGAGCTTATCTCATGTGGTTCTCATTATAAATTTCAGATTCTGATACATTCTTGCCTCTTACTATTCCATCAATCAGTGTGCCTGTTCTGAAAATTTCTTACACTGTAATTCCCCATGAGATGATGCACATTTAACAGAAGTCTATTAATTATGCATATGTATGGTTTAAGAAAATGTTTTGTATACACTGTAAATAAGATAATAAACATGAGGGAACTCCTGAATGCACTCCATTCCATAAGCTGTGTTGAATCAACCAGGTAGGGGCTGCAAATCTTGGCAGAAACTAGTGAATTTAACTAAATGCAGGATTTCCTTCTTCAAACTATTCCTTTTGTCAGTTGCTTCTGTCAATTTTACTGGCACTACCTCCTCCTTTCTCTTTAATCTGCTTGAACAGCAAAGTGCAAGAAAAATGAAGTAATTTACCATGTGCCCTTTCCCCCCATAGCTCAAATATGTCCATTTCCCGCATAATAACAGCATAACTTTAAGAAGTTTGCTTTAGCAACCCTGTCTTTAATTAGGTGAATGTTCACACATTTCAAAATGGGCTATGGGGGAAGGGACCCAGGCAAGCTATCTCTGCAGTAGCAAGAGGTATTGCAGAAAAGCAAGCTGCAGAAGGCTTTGTTTAAACAGTAAACATTTTTGGGGTGCAGTTATCCCTTAAGGAGAAATTTCTAAAGTGGGGGGATATATCACCAATTCTATTTATTCTATTGATTTCGGGGATTTCTATCCCTCTCTCTCTCTCTCTGTCAAATCACTTCTTGGAAGTAGAATGAATATGTATTTGCTTAATATCAATTAACACATACAAAATCCTAAAAATGAAAACTGGAAGTTCCCGTTTAGAAACCATAAAATAAATGTTTTTAAAGGTATATAGGGTCCCAAATGTATACATTTCGCTATATGTGGGCTTACACAAGATTAATATTTTGTGTTAGAGGTTTTGCATCTACTTTGCAATATCTGTTTTAGTCGCATAAGTTTTCTTCATTGTATTAAAAAATGCTTATTTTACTTTCTGTTAGGTACCTCCATGCAGTGGCAAATCCAGGATTAATTACTTTCACTGGACCCTATTTAGATGTTGGAGGAGCTGGCTATGTGGTTACCATCAGTCATACAGTTCATTCTTCAAGGTAAATTTGGTAGTGACTACAATGCCTTGATATTTGACATACAAGGAACATTGTAAAATATTTTGTGTATGAATCCTACAATTGCACTCTAGCTCAAGTGAAATAAAAAGAAAAAAGTAAGATGGCATCTGAAAATATGCACTGTTCAAGTTTTGAGTAACTTTCATTCTTTGCACAGCAAGCCTAAATAGTGGAAGAGATAGTGAAGTAAGATATTAGAAGTGAAAATGGAAGACATATGCTAATATCTTCTGATTGTATTCAATTTAAAATTGCTTTATGCTTTTTTGTATTTATTTTCCACTTTATGGCCCTATGGACCTTTGCGGCAACTGACTTTTGGATACAAAGTTTAAATGTTCAGCTTATTCAAGAAAAATTAAAAGAGATTGGCGACATTAGTGTATAACTCTAAGCTACCCTGCAAATAAATTATGTAGTGTTGGTTGTTCATGGCTTTTAGACTTGCTTCTTCTCCCTGTTCTTTCTCTTTGGTCCTTCAACCTGAATCCCAAAATCATTTATGGAAGAATCTTGTCTTCCCCATTTCAGCCCAATCACTGCCTTTTTTTGTTCACTACTATTACTATTTTGTTTTTTTCCTAATCCTCAAAAATGGAATTTAGTCATTTTATTCACATCCAATAAATTACGCAGCTGTCTTTCTTTTTTGCTAGTCTTCCACAGGTGCACTCTTAAAGATGTCTAATATATCTGTGATCTCTTCTGGTCAATTTCTTTGTTTCAGTTGTCAAAGAGAGCAGGAAAGTGGTCTAGGTTAAATACTTGGAAACTGGCAAGACTGATCATTTGTATACATTTGCCATGGTAGAGTTGCCCACTGTCAATTGAAAAGCACCCCCACCCCCAAAAAAGGATTAAAAAGTTGTAAAAACAACTGTACCCAGAGGTGTAGGGGGTGACAGTATCTCTCAATTAGCAATGTAATCTTCCTGAGTTTTATGTTTAACAGACAGTTGGTTCAGCTGTTCCAGAAAGGAAAGATACTACCCCCCCCACACACACACATAACTTTGGAGCCCCCTTTAGGAGCCCCGTACTGCTGTGATTGCTGTGGCTTCCTGATAACTTTAAAAAAAAACCACAGAAATATATGCAAATTGAATAGCTGGTGAGCAAATAGAAGGAGAATGTATGCCAATTTAAGGACTGGAAAGTAGGGGAAATCAGCACACCTGCAGTAATTACTGTGTGATAGCAGTTACTGCAGGTGCACAAATTTTTCCTTCATTTCCTTCATTTTCTGGCCAGCCTCTAGAGTTGCATCTGTTTCCAGTCCAAAAATGTGTATTTTAAAAAACTTTCAAGGAACTGAAGTAAGTGCAGCAATAGCTCCAAAATGCTAAATGTTAATGGTTAATCTCTCCCCTTTCTGGAGCAATTGGAAATCAGGGTAAGTGTTGAAAAGGTGGAGGGTATTGAGAATTCTCAATTCAACACATAGAAGCCATAATATTATATCACTACAGAGTGATTTAAAAAAAAAACCTAAGTCTGGCAGTGAACAAAAAGGGGTAGCGATTGGAGTGAGGAGAAGATGGGTTCTGTAGTGAATGACACTGAGACACCTGCTGGAGGATGGGGGGGAAACAGTCATGGTGGGGCCAATTGTCTGTTGTTTATTCCACAAACAACTAAGTGTAGCTCATTCCCAGAGTGGCCTGCTATGTCATGCAAACATGCTTCCTCCTTATATCTTGCTGTTCTTAATTAGCTGGGTGTGTACCTTTTATCAAAATCTTTATTGCCCTATGACTTTAATAAAGCCTTATCATATGATATACTCTATTTTTACTTTTGATTATTATTTTCAAGCTTCTAACCTTCATAGAGGCAATGTGTGCAAACCTCTATGTTGTAAGCCGCCCCGAGGCTTCGGCGAATGGGGCGGCATAAAAATGTTTTAATAAATAAATAAAATAAATAGTGTTAGTTTATCTATATAAGATGTTTTGTTTCTCAGAGGTACACTGGGGAGACCTGTCCATTAGTTTTCTTATATCTAGTTTTGGCAGAATAATACAGGTGGAAGAAGGATACTAGATGACTGAGAAGTCAGAAGATTCTTTTCCTTTCCAAACATGCATGTAAAAATACACCAGCACAGACTCTTGAAGACTGTGGTTTATGGCCCTTTGATGTGTCAGTTGCTAAGGCAACAATACGTAGTCTTCAGCTGTAGAGCAAAATAGGGGTATCAGCAAACCTCCACATATGGGCAAGATGTTATCATTTATTCACAGCAGTTCTTGCTAGTTCTGCATCTTTTAAGCTTTAACACACATAACCCATACAATTCTCCCTCCCTCCCTCCCTCATTTAAATTATCATGACTGCCCGACTATGACTTGTGGACCCAAATTTCTTATTTTAGGAGGCTTAGGAATGTTTTATGTTAATTTTTAAGCTTCATTATTGGAGAGGTTTAAAAATGAGGGAAAATAGTGTAAGATGATATGTTTGCTCAGGAAAATGTGGGGCATATAGGTAAACTGACAATATGCAATTCAGGCTGTGAATGCAAAGGGCACACTGAATTAAAAAAAGGAGATTTCAATATAATGGATGCTTATTTATTTCTCATCTTTGCAATCCTTGTTCCATAGTTTGTATTTCTCCTGTGGAGAAGCTGCACTTGCCCCTGCTTGTTGCTGATCAGTGGCTGACCCCACTGACCAGGTCACTATTTCTGTCCTAATTAACCTCCCAGGAAAAAACAGCAAAGACTAACTGATTTATTATGGCATAAGTTTTAATAAGTCTTACTTCATCAGCTGCATGAAATGTTAACCTATGTTGGTAGGCACATATGTGCAAAATTATGTGGATTTATGTGTGTGTGTGTCTGAGAGAGAGAGAGAGAGAGAGAGAAGAATTAATAGAAAAATGTGAGTTAAAATTAATGCAAAAAGTACAGACTGACAGTTTTGTTAAAGCTTACCCTCACAGGGCTGTTGTGAAGATAAAATGGGGAGCATATGCACCTTGAGCTCCTTGGAGAAAAGGTGGACTAGAAATTTAATAATAATATGGTAATGTGCCATCACAATATTGTTACATTAGGCAGTAGGCAAAACGAAAGTGAGGTGAAACAGGAATATGTTTCCATAGTCTGTGGTTTTCTTTCCCCAGAACCTTTGGAAGTTATGCCCTTCGGCACACATCCTGATGGAGTGTGGCCACAGCCTCATTATAGAAGGGACATAGGAGTGAATGGCTATGAAGTTGCAATAAAGCATGGCACAGTACATCTGCCAAACTCACAAAGATCTGGTTGGACCTTAACACATGGGAATCTATGCCACCAATAGCAGGCCAAGAAAGGAAAAATATATATATAATACATTGAGTTTGAAACCTCCTCAATGTATTTTCATATCCTAGGCATGCCTCATAAGAAACATTGCAAAACTTCTGCTTAACCCACAGATTGAGAGGTTGCAGGTGGAGTAGTCCCTCTGGAAAGTGGGTTAGTCCAATGGTGACATTCTCTTCAGTCATAGAATAGCAGAGTTGAAAAGGGCCAGAAGGCCATTGGGTCCAATCCCCTGCTCAGTGCAGGACTCCATATTAGTTAATCCCTTTCAGATGGCATCTTGATTGCCTCCAGTGTGGGAGAGCCCACAACCTCCATATTTAACCAAGGTTCAATTTCGATGCCAGGAAGTATTTCTGAGGGTATGGAATGGGCTTCCATGGGAGGTGGTTGAAGTCTGATTGGTGAGAATGTTGAAGGATTCACGCAGGGAGGATCCGCATATAAGGTCACTGTTAAGACCTTCCCCCCTCCCCTTCACCACCCTAGGCCTAACTCCATCATAATGGGGTCTATGCAAAGTACCCCACAAAGAGAACAGTGCACCCCAGTGGACAGAGAGGGGCATCACCTAGATGCCATGGCAAAAAAGATCTATGCCGTGGCAGCCCTTGGCTTCAGGGTCTCTAACTATGAGGCCACCATGGCCAGGTACCAACCTTTCCTATGGGAAATGATGGGTGCCATAGTGGATCAGATCTTTGAGCACCTACGCGGTGCTGTCCGCCTCATTCACACTGAGGCCGAGGCTGAGATCTACGCCGTGGCAGCCCTTGGCTTCAGGGTCTCTAACTATGAGGCCACTATGGCCAGGTACCAACCTTTCCTATGGGAAATGATGGGTGCCATAGTGGATCAGATCTTTGAGCACCTACGCGGTGCTGTCCGCCTCATTCACACTGAGGCTGAGGACTTCTCCAGGTTCCAATTGGAAGTAGTTTGACATCATGTCAACTATGACAGCCAGGCCATGAGGGGGCAGTGGCTATACACTGCCATGTCTGGCTGCGCTCTGCCTCCCTCCCCCCCGGAGACCTGAGCCCACGTTGAAGACCTGCCCTTCTCTTCAGTGCCCACACCAATGAGAGTATGAACTCTCTCCACAAGGCACGCACTACCGCTAAGCGCGTGGGCTTTGGCTAGAGTTTGGCACAAAGGAGTTGGCAAGGAACCAGTTGGCCCCCAGCCGCCACTCTTTCACTGTCCGCCCCGTGCGCCCCAGAGTACCACCCAGAGACAGGACTACCAACCCTGCCAGAGGCATCCGCGAAAGTGCCAGGACAACAGGCGCAGGTTATGATGCTGTGGTCCAGGCAGCCCCAGCACCACCACATACGCTACCACCCCTCCCACCCACTGCTTCACTGACCACCTGGCACGACTCCTCCCGGCTTGGGAGGCCATCACCTTGGTTCTCTGGGTCCTCTCCATCAGGTCAGGGTACAGGATAGAATTTGACACCCACCCACCCCTCGGCCACATCAGGCCCACAGCTCCATCACCCATCTTATGGCCGGAAGTACAAGCCATGCAGGACAAGAAAGCAGCTCCATCACCCATCTTATGGCCGGAAGTACAAGCCATGCAGGACAAGAAAGCAATAGAGCGCATTCCCCCCTCAGACTGCAGGGGCTTCTACTCTAGGTACTTCACAGTACCCAAA